TAAAGTGCTTTGAAATACTATTTAGGCTAGTACCATTATATATATCCAAATACCATTGTATGGTCTTCTGATACAATGTCACAGTACTTTTTGTAAGGACAAACATATAAACACAATATTGTCAAGATTTAATTTGTAAATCCCTTTGGTTTTTTGTAAGCTTTGATTGATTGCGATGTTCCTCATGCTCCAGACTCATACTATTTTATGAAATAAATGGCTAGATCGTATCTCTTTATCTCTTCATTATGTTTGTTCAGCTGAATTAGCTCACAGCTCTTTTAATCTTTATCCAGGTAAAATTTTAACAGCTTTAAAGATTTAACAGGATCAGCTTTTAACTAAAGTAAATTCTGCCAATATATCAGTGCATTTGAAAGCATCATGAGTGTTTGACAGCACTTCCACAGTAATGACATCATGAGAAACCTACACGGCTGTTTATTAGAATTCATTTACAGTAGTTAGCCTTTAATTTACTTGCAGCGTAACTGATAAAGTGAAACTCGGCCTTTCAGTGTGTGTAAATGAAACCACCTGTTCTATCTGGCCAGGGTGAACTTTGACCTCCTGGCTCAGTGTTGCACAGACTCTGCGTGTGCGTCTTACACCAGATGAGCGGAATAGTGAAATATGACTCCACAGAACACAATCAATGTATGTGTGTGTGTGTGTGTGTGTGTGTGTGAGAGAGTGTGTGTGTGTGAGTGTGCATTAGCATGTGTGGGATAGTGTTGATTTTCCCTTCCTGATGTTTTCTTCCTGTCTTTCACAGCTGCATGAGTACTTTATGGAACATCTGATAGATAAAGATTTGATTTGCAAATTGTTTTGTGAAGGGGTTAAGAGACTGCTTGAGGGTGAAAATAGCATATACTGATGTGTTCCTGGTCCCCATCCACTTTCAGTGTATGAATAAAAGCAGCTAGGCATTCTGCTAAATTTCTCCTTTCGTGTTCCATGGAAGAAAGAAAATCGTACAGGTTTGGAACAACATGAGGGTTAGTAAATAATTAGAGAATTTTTATTTTATGGTGAACTAACCCTTTAAAATATTGCTGTCTTATTTCCTCAGTAAGTTTTAAAACTCAGATATCAAATCATTACCTGACATAGCAACATAAACTCAACAAGTGAGCTCATCCTATCCTAAATCAGTGTGTGTGAAACCACCTGTTCTATCTGGCCAGGGTGAACTTTGACCTCCTGGCTCAGTGTTGCACAGACTCTGCGTGTGCGTCTTACACCAGATGAGCTGAATAGTGAAATATGACTCCACAGGACACAATCAATGTGTGTGTGTGTGTGTGTGAGAGTGTGTGTGTGTGTGAGTGTGCATTAGCATGTGTGGGATAGTGTTGATTTTCCCTTCCTGATGTTTTCTTCCTGTCTTTCACAGCTGCATGAGTACTTTATGGAACATCTGATAGGGGAAGATTTGATTTGCAAATTGTTTTGTGAAGGGGTTAAGAGACTGCTTGAGGGTGAAAATAGCATATACTGATGTGTTCCTGGTCCCCATCCACTTTCAGTGTATGAATAAAAGCAGCTAGGCATTCTGCTAAATTTCTCCTTTCGTGTTCCATGGAAGAAAGAAAATCGTACAGGTTTGGAACAACATGAGGGTTAGTAAATAATTAGAGAATTTTTATTTTATGGTGAACTAACCCTTTAAAATATTGCTGTCTTATTTCCTCAGTAAGTTTTAAAACTCAGATATCAAATCATTACCTGACATAGCAACATAAACTCAACAAGTGAGCTCATCCTATCCTAAAAATTCAAATTTTTTTTCTTAAAGTTCCAGGTTTATATCTCACAATTCTGACATTTCTTCTCTGAATTGCAGAGACATAATTACCTTTTTTATGAACCAGTTAGGACTCTTATTCATGTGAAAGTTGGACACCTTTACAATTTTTTTTTTTAATCATTATTTGTCATGATTTTTCAAAAGCATAGCCAATGATGATGATTAGACATGCTGAGCTCTTTTTGCATGCACGGACTATGCAAATTTAGCAGCTTTTAACTGTTAAGATACTTGCAACAAAAACAAAACATTCAAATAATGTATTCTTTCAAGATTTTTTCCCACAGGTGTTTTACCCATTTATTGAATTCTGCATTGAATTGTGTTGTGTTTCAGGTTAACTTAAAGGTAAACTTACCAGAAAACGTACTGTTAATTTTCTGCCAGGACATTATCAGTTTATCTATGGATTTTTTTTTTCTTACAGTGTAACTCTTCATTTAAAATACTAAAGCTTAAACTTAATTAGAATCTTATGCACTAATGTTGACTGCATTTATAATGCTCTGTGACTCAAACTCAGTTATTAGTTTAGACCTGTGTTATGGCAGAATATATGTTTGCTTTTGTTGCGTGTCTAATGACAGTGCTATTCAAAATACACACTGAAAATACATTTAAACAAATTTTATAAATACATTTCCTTATGTTTATATGTAAATAGGTATCACAGTTGGCAGTTTATTTTTTTCTGTTCTCAGCCTCCTTCCCCATTTATGTTCCTGTTTCAAGGGCATTACTATTGACTTGGTGACAGCTTTCAAGCTTCAGGTGAACTCTAGCTTATATAACACAAAACTGAGTCTTGTTGATATACTGTTAATGATAAATAGAGAAAACAAACACACACACGTGCTTCATGTAACACGGTTTCTCTGTTCCTAACTGTCTTCCGAACTATTGTTGGAGGTCTCGTGGAACTGCAGAATACAAATGAAACACAGACTAGAAAGTGTTCTCTAACCACACCTGCCTCTCTCTTTTTCTCTCTCTTTAGGAAGTGAGTGGTTCATATTCGTCTAGTGGGAGAGTAGCAGACAAATATAGTGGTTTAGGAGAAAATATGTTGAAGCAGGACTCAAACTTTGGTGGATGTGAGTATCTTTTGACTTTTATAATACAGTGATTCAGTTTCTTATAAATTGAACAACAGAATTTTTTAATTCACCATAAATATGTCTCTGTTTGGCTATTTAAAGGCTGATGCAACCTCTTCATTTTTATGTGATTTACATGTTTGTGGAAATTCAGTTTGTGTGTGTGTGTGTGTGTGTGTGTGTGTAAAGGTGACATGATTAAAGACTTCACACATTGCTGTCTAGCATGATGACAACTATGATGACAGACTTCAGCTTTCGTGCTCATGCATGTATGTGTATGTATGTACATGTGTTTGGATTTCTGCTGCAATCTTGTTCTTAAGGCACTTATTTCGGGTTACTTTGAGTTTTCAGACATAGGATATAGTCTTAAAAGTACCCCTATCATACCCAAACTTTACTTTATAATGCCTGAGTGTACATGTTTTAAATATATGCAGTGACAATAGTATGCTAGTGGGAGGCCTGTGTAATTTAATAGGTTTGTTTGACAGGTGAGTTGATTTGTGTATGGTCAGTGTCTGCATGTGTCTGTCTTTGGTTATCCCTCTTTCATTCTTTAAATCGGCTATCAGCTCGTCTTTTAAATAGACAGCGTTGTTTACGACCGGTCCACACATGTACACAGACATTCACACATGCATATCCTCCTGCATATCCTGATATATTGTTCATCTCTCAAGTGTGCTGCATTCTCTTGACATCATGTGATGCATGGCTTTAATGCTGTCCAGGAGAGTCCGAGGAAATTTTATGTTTGGTGTGATTGCATGTTTTCTCCTCAGTCTCCTCACTTTCTTTCTCTTTTTGTCTTTACTTTTTTAAGGGCCACCTAGATTTTTCAATTTTATAAGATTTTTTTTTTCTAACATAAAAAGCACACAGCATCCATAAATGTCCAATCATTCAATTTCATCTAAACAATTATGGCTTTTAAAATTAAAGTGACATCAAATCAGGTTTATTATAATTTACTAAAACTAAAAATTAAACCATAAAAGTGAAATACAAAAAAAATGATTAAAAAATAAAATGAAACAATAAACATGCTGTTGCTTATAATAAATAATGTTAATTTTGTTACTTTTAAAAAATATAAATAAAATAAAATATAAAAAATTTAGTTTAACTTGATGTACTAAATAACTTATATTATTAAATAAACAAGTCCTGACTTATGTCTGACTCTTATGCCAACACATACAAACAAATGTAAGACCTTTCTGGAGGTGCTTTATAATAGTTAGAGCTTTGTAGTAGCGGTCACCTCCTCTTTCAATGGAGAAAGTTCTGTTGAAAATTGTGTTTATCCTTATTTATTCACCCTCATATTGTTCCAGCTTTGTATGTTGTTTTTTCCACGGAACACAAAAGGAAAAATTTTGGAAGAATTTTCCAGACAACAAGTTTCCACGTCTGTTAAGTTCCAAAAACAGAGGTAGACCATATGACGTGTGCACTACAAGCCATACCATAGCTTTCTAAGGAACAGATTTATATTGTTTATATTATTTATTTATAAATCATTATTTATTGAGATTATCAGTCAATTTTTAGGGCTGTTCTTTACACAAAGCTCAGAAGGCTTGGATTATAGCTAACATGTTGTATGGACTACACCAAACGTGTTTGGTAAACTACCCCTTTAATCGTTATATAAATTTAAACATGTGAAATGGGCTGTAAGTGCATTTTATTAAAGCCAAGGATGAATGACCCTAAAATCTCTCAGACAGTAGGGTGCCTCTCCCCCTCAGTGTGTCTGTCTGTCTGTCTCTCTGTGACTTCAGGTTAAGGGCATGTTGAGTAGCTTATCTAAAAAAAGGCCTAGCAGACTGGCAATCTTTTAAAGAGGAGGAGGGTAATGGTAGGGGCCTCTGAAATACAGCCAGCTGTCCCTGCCCTCCATCACTCTGAGGTGAACCGGACAGCAGACTGGAGCTGGTCTCCAAACATACACTCACACTTTCACACACGGACGCTGGGTGTCTATAGGGGTCTCCGGGTGGGATCTGGATTGTCCAGGTGACACTATAGTCACATTGAGGAACATAGAGGAAACGTCAGATCTCTGTAGGTGAGTGCGATTCAACAGAAGTGGTTTCTGATGTCAAAGTCTGAGAGGACTAGAGAGGAAGTGTCATTTGGAAGATGCATGGTTTATAACCTAACCAAGTTTTTATGAAATAATCAGCACTACTGATTAATTCATAATTTGACAATAATCTCATAAAAGTATTGATTTTGAGCCTTTTAAAATTAAGTTGAGTTGAAATTAATAAGTACACATTTCCAGGTTTAAAGCGCATAAGGCGCGCACGTGTTCGAGAGCGCTCATTAAAATTGCATGAAGATGACACATGGCATATTGTTACATCATAATGGAGTTGAGCAAAATGAATATTAATGAGTATCATTTATATAAACATAAAGTAACAAAAGGGTTCTTTTGCTAACCGAAGACTTTCAGATTGTCCGATACCTGTTATACTTGTTTAGCTGGCTATTTCAGCAAGACAAGAACTCTAAGGTGACTAAGATTTTAGCAATTCAAAACCCATTATGCTTTTCATTTAACAATAACAGTTCACTACAGTTTAACTGAGTAGTGGCAGTTGGCTTCAAAAATGTAAAGTTATATGAACAATTATATGGACAATGTGAAGAAAAGTGTAAAATAAGATGAGTGATACATGTCTTTTTTCGAATGTGCATTGTAGTTGCTGCGTGGCAGTGAGTGTCACCCCATGAGCGTCTTAGAATAGAGTCCCAAAGACCGGGCTTTCTGAATTTAGCCCGTAAGCTACTGCTGCATTCCATAGACTAGAGTCTAGAATATTACAGGCCTGCTGATATAATGCTTACACCGTTTAATCAAACATTTAGCAAATGTCTAATACTGCTAGTTCTGACAAAGTGAACCAAAACCAGAGAAGTAATTTATCAAAATAACCAAAAGGCAATCAATCTACACTACTTCCTATTCCTATTATAAAAAGTCAGAACTGTGGCAGTTAATCTTATTAGAGAAGTAGAAATCTGAATGATATATAAGTGACCGATATAAAGATTGCTATGGCTTTGCATTTTAGGAAGTCACTCTTCCTGGGCACCTCACACTCTCTCTCTCTCCCTGAAATATGAAACTAACGGGCCTTGGTTTAAAATAAGTCTTCTTTTATTGCTCTCGGTATTGTGGATACTTCACGTCATGGTAATGCACGATAGCCTAGAAAGCCGCCAACCCCTGCGCTTCTAGATACTTGGAGGTGTTCTGAAATGTTCATCGTCCATCTTCTCCGCTGATGTCTATCATGACAAACGAGTATGTGATCCCTCTGTCTCCACATCCCCTCGTCTCTGTGTTTGAAAAGTGTCAGATACCCTCAGGTGTAGAGTTTCTGTTCAACAGCTACTAAAGATTGCTTATTCTGGATCTGAATCATCTCTATCCTTCTGCTGGGCTAGTTTTACACTGACATGCTCTGAATAACTGCTCTGCTAAAATTAACGGTTCAGGGAACATGTCTTGGTCACATGGTGATACAGTCATGCTTTACTGATGCAAGAAAAGCAGTGTGGGTGTATGACAGCACAAAGATCTGGCTTGAAATCGTCAGCGAATAGCATTGCAGTACATCCTCCATGGGCTCTTATCTTTAGCGGGGATGGAGAGAATTCAAATACTCAATCAATGAAGAATTTAAAATGTGTAGCTATTCAAAGAACTAGCATGCGTCTGCCAATAATGTAATGTTTTGATATTTCATTCTTTAATCATCTTTTTCATATGATTGAAATATTTTTTAAAGCTATTTTACACATTTTTAATATGGTATATATTGTATGGACGCTTGTTTAAAAAAAGAAGGTGACTGCAGCTTTCTCACAATCTCACAATTTTTACTTTTTCTCGCAGTTGCGAGTTTCTATTTCACAATTTTTCACAATATTCCTGAATCTTGCAATTTTGACTTTTTTTCTCTAAATTCTGAGTTTACAATTCTGTTTTTGTTCCGCCACTGAATGATAAATAAAAAAGGTAACTGTGACTCTTTTCTCACAGTTCTGACTTTTTTCTCGCAACTGCAAGTTTATATCTTGCCATTCAGACTTTTTTCTCAGAAATGCAAGTTTACATCTCACAATTTTGAATTTATATCTTGCAATTCGGAATTGTCAGATAAACTCAGAACTGCTATAAAAAATTCAGAATTGTGAGAAAAAGTTTAAAACATGAAAACATTACCTTTTTGTTCCGTGATGGAAATAAATTTCCATACTATAGTATTACAATAGGTAATTACTACAGTATTAATCGTAAAAAAAATAATTACATTTTCATTATAAAGCAACCTTGTACATCAACCACTACATTGGCTAATGCCAATAATTATTTTCATGTCATGGCTGATAATCCACTAATGGCCAATAAGAGAATTCTATACCATGATGTTAAAAAAATTAAATGCTACTTGTAAATATTTTAAGTTTTAATTTCTTCTAATAATTATATTTAAAAATGTTATTATTAAATTCTTGGTATTATAAAAAAAAGTCCTTAAAAAGAGTGCTAGTTGACAGATAAATGTATCATTATTGATAATACCAATACATTAAAAAAGAAACTCTTATATTGTTACTGACAGATATGGTAAAATTATATTGCGCATCCTCATAACCTCCCATGTAATATATGTATGTAAATTACCTTATATGTGTACAACCCTTACCGGAGCTGGTAGTGGTGATGGCTTGGGTGATCCAACATTGAAAACCGTGATTGATGAGAACGACGTGCATGCTTTATGGCATAATTTCTCATCTTGTCATTGGAGCCATCAATAGACTGGGAGACAGAGAGAGAGTCAGCATTAGCTGTCACATTACATCCCTGTTGTCAGTTTGACTTTGTCTGGCTAAATTTACTCTTGAAAATATGACAGATGATGTGATCTCTAATCTAACATTAGTTTCCCATGAACCAATCATGAGACCTGAGTCAGGGTGAAGAAATGCATTTATTTATGTTACAGGTTCAGGTTTAATAGCAAATGATGCACACCCTGCAACCTGAGTGTGTCTATGTGTGTATTTCAGCTGCGGGCAGCGCAGGTGTTTCACCATCAAGGGAGGGACACGCCGACGGTGAGGCTGATACTGTGCCTCTCAAGCAGAGACTGGCCTTATACCAAGCTGCCACTACCAAGGAGGAGAGAAGCCCATCTGTGGTATTTACCAGCATGAACGCACACAAATACGCATGAACATATGCTGGCCCACACACTCATATCATATTAACTGTAGTGAAGGAAAAATAGGCACAGATTTCCTACTTCTTGTCTAAGGCCTTCCTCTTCCTATTTAATATTTACAATTCAGAAAAAAAACCTTTCAGCCCATATAAGCATGCTGTACTTAATGGCTGTGTAATACATAATAGATGCATAAAATACACATTAAATGGATTTGCACTTTATTGATCCCATGTGGGAATTTGGGTTGCATTAAATAAAGTGAGATGGCAGCTACTGGATGAGGTGGAGTATTATTACACAGTGTCCTAAACAATTTATGCTTGTATCCTAACTACAACCATGAAAATATTTTGTCGGTTGTTTGGTTTTACAGAGCCTTTTCGTTGATACAGTTTTTGTTATTTTTATATTTTCTTTTTTAATTTTTATTTTAAAGGTGTAGAAATGTATTGTGTTTTTGTAATTATTATTATTTTTAAACATACATTATGTGTAGAAATATGTTTATTTTTGGTGTGCTGTGGTGTGTAGTGCTGCCCATTGTGAAATCCCATTGGTTCAAAATCCCGATCTCCATTGCTGTATATTAAATATCAAACATGTTCTGATTGTTTGTCTTTGTGTTGCATTCTGCATAATTTTTACTGTCTGTGTGGAGAGAAACACTTGTCACTTTCTTGTCACTAGAATTCCGGTTAGCTCTATTGGTAAACTAACTCTCGGTCTTTAAGATCTGTACAATAATAAATAATTTAATGCTAAAGGATTAACAAAAACGAATACTGATGCAACTTGTCAATGTATAATGAATGTTTGTATAATGTGTGTTTGGTTCTAAGTAAAAGAGGAATTTAAAAACTGTGTTTTCAACCTTGTAGCTCCCCCTAGAGGAGAATCATGTCTCAAATCTATTCTATGTATATTCTGTATGTAAGCTAAAAATGTATGTATATTTATAAATGTGTCTTACCATTTTGTTTTGTGTTTCAAGGTCATGGAGAGCTCTGAGCCGTGCTCTCTGCCAGGCGGACTGGCCAGCGTCAAGAAACAGTTTGAAAGCCAAGAGTTCAGTTCCTCTTCCGCATCCCAAGGCACTGTTACACAATACCACTACCAACAGAGACAGGTAATGCAGATAAATACACAAGGGATCCACAACACTAACTCAATTCCACCAAAAAAAGACTAATACAAGACTTGATGAAAAAGTACAGTTTGCAATGCTACTGAATCCCCTATCTGGCAATTAATAGCTGTTCATGCAATATTAAACATGACTAATTTTCATATCACAAGGCATTGAGCAGCACAACACTGCTGATTATATTGTACTAACAGCAGTGGGTTGCATATTGTGTATGTTTGTTTAACAACAGGTGTTCTCTGTCTTTTGACAGCAGGTGGTGAGCTCATCAGAGGTGACGGCACGAAGCAGTGTTAAAGAAAGCAGTACCTCAAATGCTCAGGTATACCCATACAAGATGAAAATCCCATAGGTGCAATGTCCAATAAAAAAAATCTGCTATGATTTACTCACTCTCATGCTGTTACAAACTCAATACAATTTACTAGAAAACCTATATTTTGTTGCCAGACATTCTTTTTTTAAGGTATTATTTAGGTGCGCTGCTCACTGTTTTCATGTTAGGTTTCCCTGGACCAGAATGTTCATCAGAGTGTGGCCTCAAGTTTTGGGGATCATTATGATGAGAAAGGTAGTGTTCAAATGTAGTTTACTACAGTTTAATAACAAATTGTAAGTTACCTCATAACTTTTTTGTAATTTTCTCTTTCTCATTTCGCTTTTTAACCTGTTAAAGTGATGGTAATTGGAGAAGAAAATTTGCCAAAAATTTCTGCTCAAGCCCTGAAACAGCAGCATGAAAAAAGTATTGAGGAGGCCACTCCACCCAAACATATCAAGGTAAAAATGACGTATACCGATGAAGACAGTAAATTGTTTTACCTGCAGTGGTTAAAAAAAATCATGACTTAAAATATATGGGTGTTTCTTTAAATGTAGGCACTTTTTTGTTCTAGGGGACAGGGGTTCATTTTTATTCAAACAGATTTCCCCATTTCTTTCATGTGTCACACAACTGTCTTTTACATAGAGTATAGATGTTACTGGTTTATCTTTGTCAGAAATCCAGGAGTTATGAAAATTAATATGAGAAATATAAGTATTAATATATTTCATATCAATCATAATGTGGAAAATTAAGCTATAATCGCGTAAAAGAAAATGCACAAGACTTCAAGCAAGACATGAAATTAGCTTTAGCATAGCCATTTTTTCCCAAAAATGCTTAAAATGTAATTTACAGAATTATGTTAAACACAATAAATAATTTGAGATGTGGTGGAATTGATACTTTAGTGTAAAAAAAATAGGCCTATATAAAAATTAACAGAACTCTTCTGCGATGCATATCTCTACTGTTGACAAATGAATAAAAAACTAGTAAGAGTGTAAAAAATTTATTTTAAGCCCACAGGGCCAAAAGTGCCCATATTTAAAGGAATGCCCGTATGTTAATTGTACATAAATCAACATAAATCTACACTGACTATTCTATTCAAGCATATTTCTTTCTATTACTCTTTTCTCTGCTTATGCATAAAAATAAAAGTAGAATATATTTTAAGCACAAGATTATGCATTTATAAAAGATTATGCTTGTCTTTTCCTTCTATACCAACAAAGATTGATCTTGATTACAACCAGTTTCCTTGGGCCCCAGTTAATGTTTCTTCAAAGACTACTGCCACAGGTAGCTATGAGACCATGTCTATCACTAAAACAATGCAAGAGGCCTCTACCTCCTCTGTGGCTTCCTCACAATATGAGGCTGTGGAGCAGTTTTCACAACCAGTATCTGCCACACAACAGTTTCAAGTGACTTCCCAAGTCCCAGAACGTTGTCCTTCCCCTAAGCCAACAGATGCACCTACTTCAGCCAAATATGCTGTCAATAAAGAGCAGTACTCCAAGCAGAGGAACCTCTATGAACTTAAGCGCCTCTACAAGCACATTCACCCAGAAGTGCGTAAAAACCTGGAGCGTGACTTCTTCACTGAAGTGACAGACACAGAGCAAACCTATGTGGACAGTGATGAGGAGATGAGCAGAGACATTCAGCAAGCATGCTATGTTTTTGAAAATAGTGGAAGTACCAGTCCTGGCAAGTGCATAAGTCCAGAGAGAGAGTATTTGGAGTGGGATGAGATCCTGAAAGGTGAGGTGCAGTCAATGCGCTGGATGTTTGAGAACAAGCCCCTAGATTCCATTAAAGATGGAACACCAGATGAAGATGAGGGAAAGTACATAGCCCAACAAGAAATCATCGCTGGAAAAGATGTAAAGTATACTACATGGATGTTTGAATCACAGCCCATCGATGCTCTAGGTACAGAAAAAATAGACTCAGCAGAACACATTGGAAAACTAGATCTAGCAAGGGGAGATGTTCAGACTGCAACATGGTTGTTTGAGACACAACCACTCGACTCACTCAACAGAATTTACCAAGAGGATGAGCAAGAGACACAAGTGATGTATACTAAAGACATTGCAGGGGGTGATGTGAAAACTGCTAGGTATTTGTTTGAAACACAGCACCTGGATACACTTGGACACACTGAGACTATCGATGAAAGTCACTTCCTGCAGCTGAAATCAGAGCTTGAAGAAGTCAAGGGTGAAGTAAAGAAAACAACCAAGATGTTTGAGACACAACCCATGTGTGTCATACGAGGTGACTCTGGTGAGATGCTGGAGATTACCAAGGTGCGACGTGAAGAAACTGAGAAAGGTGATGTCAGGACATCACGCTGGCTCTTTGAAACTCAGCCTCTGGACCTGATCAGCAAAGATCCAAGCAAAGTAAAATTAATCTGTGGGGTCTCCATGGAGGAAAATTATCAGGGTGGGGTAAACAGGGGAAGATGGCTGTTTGAGACAAGGACACTCGATCAAATCAAAGAGGAAGAATGGGAAAGCACAAAGATTCAGAAGGAGGAGATTTTAGGAGCAGATGTTAGGAGACACTGCATGATCTTTGAAACACAGCCGATGGATATACTTAAAGATAATACCAATGAAAGACCAATGGATCCAGAAGACATTATAGGTGGTGATGTTACTTCTGCTAGGCATTTGTTTGAAACAGTGCCAATGGAGAATCTGAAAGAGTTACCAGAAGTTGGCAAGCTACAAAAGGTGCTAGCTTCAGAAGAAGAGAAAGGTGATGTGAGACACCAGAGGTGGTTGTTTGAAAGCAAACCTCTTGAGCAGATCAGAGAGGAGAAGAAAGAGGTCACACGGACTATTAATCTAGAGGAGCTTGAAAAAGGTGATGTCACAAATTACAAGGAAATATTTGAGACCATGGACCTGAGCAAATGCACAGATTCACAAAAAATACAAGTGGAGGGTGTCACCTGCGGCTCAGTGAAATCAAATAAAGTATTATTTGAGTCAACACCATTGTATGCTGTACAGGACAGCTCAGGACACTACCATGAAGTTAAAACCGTGCGCAGAGAGGAAGTTGTAAAGGGAGATGTGAGAAGCTGCAAGTGGATGTTTGAAACACGTCCCATTGATCAGTTTGATGAGAGCATCACTAAGTTCCAGATAATCAAAGGAATATCTAAAGAGGAAATCCAATCAGGTGATGTCAAAACAGCCAAATGGCTTTTCGAAACCCAGCCACTTGACGGCATTAAATACTTCAACTTAGAGGAAGAGGACAACAAGAAAAATGAGAGCATTGAGATCCAAAGAGGTGACGTTAAAACATGCAGATGGTTGTTCGAAACCCAGCCAATGGATGTCTTGTATGAGAAAGTAGAGACAAAGACTGAGGACACCACAGACGTCCAGAAAGGAGATGTTAAAACCTGTACATGGCTTTTTGAGACTCAGACTCTTGACAGCATCAAGGATGAATCTGAGACAATCCTGAAAACTTGCACAGTAAAGCAAGATGATGTAAAAGGTAAGGATGTACGTCTAGTGCGTTTCCTATTTGAAACTGAAAACCTAGGAAACATCACTGATGACGAGGATCATAGTGGCTTTAAGCGAATCACTGAGATTGACATTCACTCTGGAGATGTCTCACGAATGAAATACATCTTTGAGAATCAGTCATCTGATATCATGACTTCTACATCTGAGGAGACCATGCAGAAACTCAAATGCTGTCAAGCAAAGGACATTCAGAAAGGAAATGTGGTGAACTGTACCTGGATGTTTGAAAACCAACCAATTGATTCCATTAGGGCAAATTCTGAAGAACTCAAGGAGTCACGCACAGTAATAGATATTCAGGGAGGTAATGTTGATAAAGGTCGCTTCATTTTTGAGACATACTCATTAGATAAGATTCAGGAGGAGGCATCTGATTCTGAGATCAGCAAACTCCAAAGCATCATACACAAGGAGATTGAGAAAGGGGACGTAAAAAACTACACCATGATGTTTGAGACCCAACCACTGTATGCTATCAGGGACAAAGAAGGACACTATCATGAGGTTACTACAGTCACAAAAGAAGAGATTCTGCGAGGAGATGTGGTTGGGGCAAGATGGTTATTTGAGACAAAGCCCCTAGACTCAATTAGAGACACAGATGAGGTTTATGTCATCAAAGCTGTTACTGAAGAAGACATCCAAAAGGGAGATGTCAGCACAGCCAGGTGGAGGTTTGAAACTCAGCCTCTAGATGAGATTGCAGAGGATATGAAAGCTGCTGTTAAAACAGTAGCAAACATCCAAGGGGGGGATGTGAAAACAAACAAACAGCGATTTGAAATGGATGACCTATCAAAGAAATATGTGAAAACCGTTAGTGTCAGTGAGATTCAGAGAGGTAACGTGAGAAGCTCCACATGGATGTTTGAAACACGTACTATTGACAAGATCCGGGGTGAAGGTTCGGAGTATGACGAGATGGAGAAGGTGACACGCGAAGAAGTGGTAAGAGGTGATGTTAAGCAATCTGTGTGGCTCTTTGAAAAGGAACCACTTGATCGCATCAAG